AAGAATGAAATTATGACTGGGCTGGGCAGCTGTCTCTTTCCCTCTCAGTCAGGCAGTGTGTTCATTCCTGTCTCAGCGGCAGAGACTCAGACACTGAAAATTATGTCAGCATTGGCTTTCCCAGACTCACCCTGAGCCCGGTCTCCTGGATGTTTACGCTGTCTTGGAGCCACCAGGGTGTCCACAGTGATGAGCTGCCTAGAGCCTGCCGTGGGCTCCCTGGAGAGGCCCTGCTGGCTCCGAGAGGTGGTGACAGTGTAACCAGGGGCGCCAATGGCAGGCAGAGGTTGTCTTCCTGGTGTCTGCACTACCCTCGATGCCCTTCATTGCTGGTTTTCTTTTTTCTTTTTTTAGAATTTCAGTGGCTAACAGTAAAGTGAACAGGAACTTTTGAATTCAAAGGTCCTAACTTCTAAGCTCACCTTTATTTAAAAGGACACAGTTAAGGTATTTTTATCTTTTTAAATGTATAATTTTACTACTTTTTTAAAAGCTCAAAACTAAAACCATAATCCTAACCTGAAACACGTTTATTTTGCGGGGGTGTGTGCGTGTGTGTGTGCTGCCTCGTTTTCTAGTGCTTGGCTACTAGCACGCCTTTTATTTGAGAAAAAGCAGTGTGGAATTTTATTTGAAAGCATGCCTGTCAGAGCACGTGGAGGAGGCAGGGATGGGGAAAAACAGTTGTCTTGAATTAAATTTTACAGCTCCCTAACTTAACCATTGTGTTTTAAGAAAAACGAAATAGACAGATCAAACCTGATGGTAGGTAAGTTGAAATTGTAGCACCAATCAATGTCTTTTGAAGTATTTTGTTGTGTGTTGGTGTGTGAATTTCTCATGATTCCAAAAATTTCCCTCTTTGTTCTCTATCTTCTGTAGTTGAGGGAAGAGTGCTTTAATCTTAGCTGTCACTCACCTTTTATATGCACAGGTACTTAAAACATTGCATGTGGAATACGGGACACATAGGTGACACTCAAAAATAGTTGTTAATTAGGGCCTCGTCGAACAGCGCTGTCTAAGCAATATCTCATCCATAACTAAAATCTGCAAAGGCAGAATCATTTTGCTAAAGACATTTTCTAAGATATTGAAAGTGGAGCTCATTTATAAAAGTCAGTGTATTTTTATCATATTTCACTTATGTGAAAAGCATTTATATCTGTTAAAAGACCTTGAAAAATAGCGTCTGCAAGATAGAGACTTCAGAGTTACTGATGCTGCTGTTTATCCTTTCCTCCTCAATGTCTTCTCTAATTTTTTTTTTTTTTTTTTTTTGAGACAGAGTCTTGCTCTATAGCCCGGGCTGGAGTGCAGTGGCGCGATCTTGGCTCACTGCAACCTCCGCTTCCCAGGTTCAAGCAATTGTCCTGCCTTAGCCTCCCAAGTAGCTGGGATTACAGGCATGTGCCACCACGCCCAGCTAATTTTTGTATTTTTAGTAGGGACGGGGTTTCACCATGTTGACCAGGCTGGTCTTGAATTCCTGACCTCAGGTGATCTGCCCGCCTCAGGGTCCCAAAGTGTTAGGATTACAGGGTGAGCCACCATGCCTGGCCTCCATCATCTCTAATCTTAATAGCCTAAAGCACATAACCAAACCTCTCCCCTGGTTCCTGCTGCAGGGGGCTGTGCCGAGCTGATTCAGCAGCAGCAGAGAGAGCCTGGGTCAGAGCCGTGAGGCTGCCCCTGCGTCAGCTCTGTCTCCTTGGCAGCTTCTGTGTCTTGGGTTCTTCATACGCCCAGTGGCAGAGTGCCCCTTGCAATCCTTCTGGACAAATGTGCCACTGTCCTATGAAAATAAAAGGACACCACACAAGCTCCAGGAGGCAGAACGTTACTCAAATGCTGAGCCAATAAACAATGTCATTCTAGTACCAAAGTCTATTTCAAAATGCAAACTATTTGAAATACCTTATTTTTGGTAAATGCTTTATTTTGGAAATGGGTTTTTGTTGTTGTTTCCCTGAAGAGAGTTCAGATGAGCAAAGCAAGTAGCTTTGGAGAAGACACCTTTAGACCAGGACTCCTGTGAATCAGCAGGACAGCGTAGCAGGAAATTAGGTGAGCCAGGGGATGGAGCAGGATGGGAGGGCAGATGCTTCTGCTTCAGAATTGAAGTCGAAAGCAAGTAATGCTGTGGGTGTTACTGGAGACAAAAGGAACCAAATAAGAAAAATCTGGAGAGGCAAATGTTGATGTCTTAATAGATTTGGGAGGTCACACTCCTTAAAAATGGGTCCCAAAGCAAAGCCCTCAAAACTTTATTAAAAGGAAAGTCTTACATTTAACAAATGGCCTGGAAAGAGGAGCTACCAGGACATTGGCCCCCTTGCTGTGCGTCTGCACTGTGCATCACAGCTCATGTTGTGTGTGTTATACTTTGTCACCTCACATTTTATTATAAGGGTCATTCCGGTGTTAAAAAGAGAGCAAGGTATGATGGCACCTAGTGAATTGTAGCGTCTTGAGGGAGGAGCAAAAATGGACATAAATGAATACACAGAAAAGATTACCTGAAACCAGGAGCAAATCAAAGTAAAAATGTAGGGATAGGGTGTTTCTTTCTCTTAAAAAAATAATGCTGTCAGGATTAAAGTGAGAAGAATTTAATTTGCATTTCAGCCTGAACATTAGTTTTACTTTCAGAAAGGTTCTTGGTGCCAAGCTGTGAAACTTTTGCCTTCGTGGGTATGCACACTTGGTACCCTTGCTTAGCACTGTGGAAACGGAAGTCTCTTGAGCTTTCTTCAATTTTCTTTCGAATGAGTTTCACATCCAGCACTTGCAAGCTGGACAGTTCCAGCTTCTAATTTATGTCCGTTGATCCCCTGAGTGTGAGCTCCTCAACTGGCCCAGTTTGTTATCCAAGACTCACTAAGAGAACCTAAGAAGGAGCAGGGTGCCCAAATGCCCCATGTGATGGCTCTGGGGACCTTGTTGACAGTCTGCTCTGGGGTCATCCAACAAGGCTCCCTATCCTGCCGATTTTCGTGTTGAACGTTGGCACGAAACGTTAAACAAGGCTGCTTGATGGGGGTAGGGGCCTCATAAACAGCTTGCATTTCCGTATCTCTGGGAGGACAGCACAGGTACCCGACAGGGCTGGCAGCAGGCCCAGGTGTGTGGCAGGAAGGAGGCAGGTGCCTGCGGAGCTGCTGTCCATCCAAGACCATTCAACATCATGGGCAGGAAGAGCAAGGCAAGCTGGTTTAATGAGGCCCTGGCTGAAGTGAGAGAGAAGGAACGTCACTGTGAGAGTGTGTGAGAGTGAGTGTGTGTGCATAAGTGCGTGTGTGTGAGTGCGTATGTGTTTATGTGCGTGTGTGTGCTTGTGAATGTGTGAGTGTGTGTGTATGTGTGTGCCTGTGTGCGCGTGTGTGAGAGTGGGTGTGTGTGCAGGGGGGTGTGTGAGTGTGTGTGTGTATGCATATTCTCCAGGTAAGAGCGGTCATCAGGGTTGTGGGAAAGAGGTGTTGGTAATGTCAGTTTCCTCCTTGCCCTGGTTTCCAGGAGGAGTGAACGTGCCGTGAGTCATTGTAGAAGAGAACGACCACCAAGCTTGGTTCCAAGTACAGAATCATTGTTTTCAGCTGACAATTTTTCTTTCCATTTTACTTTCTGTTTTCCTCCCCTTTACTTTTGCTGGACTGATTAAATTGTCTTTCCCCTTTCTTCCCACTGGTGATTTGGAAGTTCTAAACCTTATTTCTATTCTGACCAGTGGTTACCCCAATTTTTAAAAATAAATATGTTTAAATCACTTTGAAAAAATGTTGGCATCAAGAATTAATATTTGTAAAGATCCAAACTTGGGAAAAGGTGAAATATTGGGCTCATTTTTATTCCACTGTCTTCCCATCCTCGTCTTCCTGGATTCTGATGACATCATCTTGAGTTTTGGAAACTCATTTAATACTGTGCTTTTCCTTTAAAAGCCTTTCTTAATAAGTCACAAGCCACATGATCAACAACTGTTCGGATGAAAATGTAAGGGCTCCTGGTTTCTCTCCTGACCAGTTTTCTGTAGCTGTTGCCCCTGCCCTTAACTCCACATCCAGATGTATTTTTCACTCTGCTGGAATACATCCTTAATTGGGGTGACAGGGTGATTTCTTGGTTGGCTGTTTTTGTTTGATTTTTGGAGAAAAGGCCTGTGTGCTGCCCTGGATCTTGACTTTATCTGGCCCTTGTCTGTGCGCCAGGTGGACTGGGCACTGTGGATGTCTGGGCTTCGTCCTTCCCCCCAGGACACGTCAAGACCTCCATGGTCACCCTTTGTCACAGAGCCAGTTTGAGTTTCCTTCCTTTCTAGAAGGTACCCCCTTGTTTTCTCTCTGGTAGCATTAAATTTATTTATTTTCCTTAAAATTCAGAAATTTCAACAGATTAAGCCTAGGTGTGTGTGGCTAGTTTGTTGGGATTTCTTTCCTGCTTACTACCCTGAACCCTCTGATCTCGATTGTTGACTCTTCACTTCCTAGAAATGTCCTTCTGTCTTGTCACTTCTGCTAGAAGCATCTTCTCTGCCCTCTCTGTTGTCCCTGAAAGTGCTGCTGAGCAGAAGTCACAGTCCTGCAGCCGGTGTCTCTTCTCTCATCTGATGTGCTTTTTTGACTGCACTGCATTCTAAGAGAATGCCTGACTTCTCTGTCACCATCTCAGGAGTGAACTGTTTTCCCTGCAGAGCAGGCTCCCCAGGAGCTCATGCCTGGCCCACTTCCCTGCACCGCGGCTGCCACACGGCTCCCTCTCTTGCTCTGGTTCTCCTTTCTGAGAGAGTGACTCCATGTGGAGCTCCTCATCTCTGTTGGGTTTTCAGTGGCTGCATTTAGGGTTCCTCATGTCTGTTGGGTGTTCAGTTCTCCTTTTGCATACTGAGAACAACTTTCTAGTTTGGAACTGTCTAGAAAAGAGTTTCCTAAAAGGAATTAAGCTCCCCTGACTGGAAGTGTTCAGGTTGGAATTGGATGGAGATTGTTGTTAGGGACATGGTGACGGGTTCTGGCTGAAAGGATTAACCCACATGACCTCCAAGTATCTTCTAAACTCGAGATCCTACGGAGTGCAGTGTGCTTGTTTTTAAATTCTCTGTGTGGATGACTGTAATGGTACAGTACAGTTACCTATTGTATCAATGACACCTTTGAAGGTTTTTAAAAATAATGATTGTTATGCTTCACTGACTGCCATCCTCCGGCCATTTCCCAGGCGTGCATGTGCTCAAGTCGGGAGCCAGATTCTTACATACGTCCCTGAGTCCACGCCGCAGCCCTGTGGGCTGGGCCCGCCGTCACCCTTCACAGTGGAAGCGGCCGCAACTGGCAAACACCACAGGACTTGCAGCTCACAGCCGTGTTCCACTGTCCATAGGACAAGTACTGCTTGAACCCACATCCGATCTTTCACCACCCCAAGGCTTGCCTCCTATGGAGGACAGAGAGGGCACAAGCGTGCCTTGGGGCTCCCCCAGGAGCTGCTTCAGGAAAAGGAGGAGCTGGCAGGATCTCTGTGAGCCTCTCAGCCCCACTCCACCTGCTGCTCACCTTCATCCACATCCAGTTAGCATCTCCTGCCCATGCAACTCTCTGGACATGAGCCCACCTCACTCAGGACCACAGCTCTGGGGCTCCTTCCACAGCCGGTGTTTTAAAATCCTGTGGTCTCCTTTGAGAAAGGAGTGTTATTTGGCCAGAGGTCCTCTGTGTAAAGCCCTTGGCACCTGGCTGGGGTTAGTGGACAACCAAGACAAGGCATGTCCGAGCTGGCAGAGGAAGCCTGAGAGCAGCCCTGGGGAATGGGCTGGAAGGGTCAGGAGAACCCAGCCATCTTGCTCTGTATGGATTCTCATGGATTGTGTTCATTTCTCTGTCAGCTCAAAGGACTGCCCTTCTTAAGACAATCACAATGAAAGGCTCAAAGGTGCTCTGCTCTCAGCTTAAATGGCGGGTTGGTTTTGGACCTAGAGGGGCTCAGAGGCTCCCTCCTGTGTTGCGTGGCCTGTATCATCCTCACTGCGGGAGTGCTGTGCGGAGTTTTCCTTACACTTTAACTCATGCCCAGGTCTTGACTATTTCTTATTTGCAGAATAGAGGCCGCTTTCTGTCAAGATTGTAAGTACACATTTTCCTTGACCCACTAATAAATGTCTAATAGTTTCTATAACATGAACCCATAATAACCCTAAAGTACCTATTGTTAATCATTATGTATATCATTCATCTTTGATTACCCTACTATATGAGGAACCTATTGGAAAATACCTTTAGGGTAGAAATAAGAAAAAACATCAATGCCAACTCTTCTGAGTTTTTTAATTGTAGCAGTTATTAGACCAATTCACAGTTTCTCTGTATTTTTGCTTTAAAAGCTCTGATTCAGCACACTTAATTTACAACAACAGAGGGATTCTCATTACCAGCCAAGTTGTTCTTGCTTTTATTGGTTTCTGCACCACGGCCTGGGATTAACTCATTACCCTAGTTCCCTCTTTGCAGCCCGGAAAGATAAGCATCTCACTGGTGGCAGCCCTCACACTGCACTGGCCTCAGGGACTCGTAGAAGGATACGCTTGTGACCATTTAGGGGCTTTCTGCCCCAGAAAAAGCATATGGTTAGTATTGGAAGCGTGGGCTATTTTCTTTTTGCCTTATTTCCTGCATTTTTGTTTCAAGGTGGGACTTGATTTAACTTAAAATATAAAAAATGTTTTGTACTATTAGGATCTTACACTTTTTGTTAATTAATCATTTAGTGAAAAATATTGTCATTCTAAGGTTTAAGTATCATTCAACAGTAATCCTTTATTTTGATGAGAAGTAATGGAATTGCCAAGGAAGATAATATAAGCATTATCCATTTGTTTATGAAAGATTCAATTCCATTATGGTCAGAGATTCCCCAACAGTTTAACTGGATACCTACTCTTCTAGCCATTCCCCCGTGAAAGAAATCCTTCCTGATTCTGTCTGTTTGAAGCGTGTGGCCTTGAACATGCTCCTGGGGCTGCTGCCTCTACAGAGTGACAGCTCAGGGACCTGCAGGAACTCAGAACATGCAGGCAGATGCTGGAAGTAGGGCGGGTGTGCTGATAACAGCCACCGAAGACCTCAGTTCCACTGGCAAAACTGTGCCACAGGAGAAACCTGAGCATGTGCTAAAAACCACCCCAGCAGCAATCAGTAGATGCAGGAACAGTGACCTCAGGAAGACATGAGGCTCCTACCAGTGCCTGTGATGAGACCAGCCCAGCCCTGTGTGTGGTTAGGGCACACCTGACTGACCACCCCAACAACCAGGGAAGGACGGTGCTGGAGCTCTGAGTTCTTGGGATGAGGACATGGTCTTGGCTGATTGTTTTCCTTTAGACCTTCTGCAGAATTGAATGCACATCAAAGAAACAAGCAGAAGAAACCATGCCAGCTGCTTGTATTAAATAAAAATATTTTACTTACAAACTTGGATTATCAAACTTACGAGGAAAATAAACAACACAAAAGAGAAAGATCTATATTAGAAAATAGAACAACTGAGAGAAAGCAGAAACAATTTAGAAAACAGAAGAGAAATAAGTAATGATAAACCTTATTTGTATGTTACTTAGTAAGTGCTGAAATCTAATATTAATTTGAAGGTCTAGAAAATATTCCATTTTTTTCAGTGTGCATTGGGCATGGTTCTAGGTGTTGGGATTTTGCAGTAAACAGGACAAACAAAACCTCTTCCTTATGGAGCTTTTGCTCTGATGAGGGCAGGGGGACGGTGAGGTCAAATAAATCTCAGGTAACTTGGAACAGAAAGGCAGAATTATGAGAAAAACCTTCAGAGATGTGGAAAGTTATTCAGAAGGCCCAATGTTTGTTTAATAGCATTTCAAAAATAGGAAGTAGGGAGGAGGAAACAACAGAAGAAAATTCCTCAGTACAGAGGAAAACACAAGTACTGGAATTAAGTGGACGCACTGAGTACTGAGCAGGATTGATGAGAAAAGTCCATGCCCAGTATATCCCGTTGGAGTTTCAGAACACCAAGGACAAAGAGAAGATCCTAAAAGCTTCTAAGTTAGCTGCAATACGTTAGAGATTTTTATAACCCTTACCAGGACACCGGAAGTCAGAACAGAGTGATGAGATGACTTTCTGGTTCTAAAGAGAAAATATTTTTATTGTGGAATTTCCTACCCAATCAAGCATTGGGACAAAGTGGTAATTTTTAGATAGTCAAGGATTCAGAGGACATATGCTTTTGGAGAAAACAAAATGACTTGAGGATACTCTAGCAAAACGAAAAAGACATCTAAGAAAGAGAAAACTTGAATTTAAGAAAGAATACCTTATAAATCCAAAGTACAATTGAAAAGGATAATTCAGCAGCAAGCCTGAAAAGTAACTTCCAAATTAAAAGAGATATTCATATTAAACAACACTAAAAAGAATGTTTTTAGAAGAAGGTGAATTTATTTTAATGAATAGCCTAACTGAGAAGCTGAATGCTCTGAATGGTAGGGTGAAAGCAAACACTTCTTTTGTGGACAAAAAAAAAGGAAAGGAGAGTGGAAACTCCAGGGAACATAAAAAAGCTATTCAGGAAAGGAATGGCTTAGACATGAAGCAAATGAAACTAAGGCATGATTTTGAACAATTCTTGAGAGACAGAACAAAGAGACTCCAGTATAAGTTTGTGCTTGGAGGGGTGTACTGAGGAGCACAGGCTTGGTGGTGGTATCCTGTTTCTCCTGCAAAGTCTGTCACTTTTAAAATGTTAAAATAAAAAAGCAAAAACTTTTCTAATTATTAGATCAGACGAGAAACCAGAACTTAAACTACTGACTACTTAGAATACACATATCAAAAATGGTGAACTGGAGCCCCACTTACCCTTAGGAGATCATGGCCTTCGATGAATAGAAAAAAAATAAGTGAATTAAGCCTTTCTTTTCCAAAATTGGGAGGGAAAGCAACAACAAAGCTAAAGAGGAAATAAAGGAAGAAGGAAGGAAATAGAAGTGAGAAGGAGAGAGGGGAGGAGGAAGGAAATGAATAATATAGGAAAGAGGAAAAAAGATTAAAATTAGTAAAACTGGCCAGGCATGGTGGCTCACACCTGTAATCCCAGCACTTTGAGGGGCTGAGGGAGGCAGATAACCCGAGGTCAGGATTTCGAGACCAGCCTGGACAATATGGTGAAACCCCATCTCTACTAAAAATACAAAAAAATTAGCTGGGCATGGTGGTGGGCGCCCGTAATCCCAGCTACTCAGGAGACTGAGGCAGGAGAATTGCTTGAACCCAGGAGGCGGAGGTTGCAGTGAGCCAAGATCATGCCACTGCACTTCAGCCTGAGTGACAGAGCAAGACTCCATCTTAAAAAAAAAAAAAAAAATAGTAAAACTAAGAGTCATTGACTTCAAAGAACAATCAAACAGATCTGCCACTGCCAGGGCTATCTAATTAATATCAGATAAAAGTAACCAAGTGGAAATTGAGGGCTACCCACAGATGAGGAGGAGGGTACAGTCCCACTCCTTATTGCAGTTTCCCTCTCCAGGAGGTCAACCAAGGTTGGAAAATACTATAGTACTTAGAGCACATTCACATAACTTTTACTACAGTATATTTTTATAATTGTTCTATTTTATTATTAGTTATTGTTGTCAATCTCTTACTCCTATTTATAAATTAAACTGTATCATAGGTATGTATGTAGAGAAAGAAAACATAGTTATATAGGATTTGGTCCTATCTGTGGTTTCAGGCATTCAGTGGGGGTCCTGGAATTATCAAGATTTCAAAAGAATTCTTTGTTCGTCTCTGATACTTATAAATTTGAAACTGTCAACAACAACAAAGAAAGAATAAGAAAATGTAAATTATCAAAGTTAACCCAAAAAGAAATACAATATATAGCAAAGGAAATTTCCAGGGAAGACATTGAAAATGTTGTCCACAAATTACCTTCCAGCAAATTCCCAAATGGTTTAATCTATCAAAGAACATGTAATTCTGCCTCTCTATAAACTTTCCAGGCCATGGAAAAGAGCAATTGACCTAATCCAAATACCAAAACTGGACAAAATGCAAATAAAAACCACAGAATTACCTATGACTATAGATGCAAGACTCCTAAATGAAATACTATAAAATCAAATTTAGCAATATGCCCAGGAACCTGAGTATAGTTTCATTTTATACCTGTTAGTATAGTTTATCCATGAGAAGGTTATCAGAAAGGATCCATAACATCTCAGTGCTTTACGGAAGTCAGCATATGTTCATTAATACGTATGCTCACCATGCACATGTGTGTATACACAGAAAGAGTATGCATTAAAATGGCAAAGCTCATCTAGGAAGGAAGGATTGTTTTGGGAGGGTTAAGA